AATCTTTTCACTTCAGGTTGCAACTTGAAAGCCAGGGCCTGAAGAATGATTGAAAGTGAGCTGTTATATATTTCTAGAAAAATGTGTTTGCCTTTTGCAGGACATAGGGCTTTTAATTTTGTAAAATTTTTAAAGGTAGACACAGCTTATGACTGTAGATAAAATACTTCTTTACTCTTAAAAAAACTTGAAAATCCTGTAATTTTTCCATATTTATTTGAAGTTGTTTGCCAAATATTTTTGTTTGAAGTGTAATTTTTTTTCTTAGTCTACCCCACCAAAGAGAGAAGTGAGTTTCTGCTAATGAAATGAGCAGACATTTAATATTTTATATGCCTGTGGAGCTATGTAACTTAAAATTTGCATATCTAACAATTTGTTATAATATATAATTGATAAAAATGGTGATGTATGTTGATGTTAGCTTAATCATATACAGAAAGTTATCTGGAATGTGCCTTATATGTGCCTAGGGTTCTCTGAATAAAATAATTTGTTAATGTTTACCAGCTGGTAAAAACGTACTATAAGAGCTTAAACATCTAAAGATATAATGAGATTATTTTTCAGAAAGCAAAAAGAAAAGTTAGCAATAACCATTGAGTACATGGAATTCTGAAATATATAGCATGCACTATCTAAAATAGATGGCAGAATATGTTGAATTTTAAAACTCAGTTTGAAAGAAGAAAAACAAAAGTAAAGGAAGATAAGATAGAATATAAAATTAAGATAAGCTCATAGCAGTAATTCCAAATATATCAGTAATCACAGAATGTAAAAGGACATTAATTGGGTAAAAATTAAGCCCAGCTATATAATATATATGAAACAACTTAAAACTTAGGATAGAGAACATTAAAAGAAGGTAGATAACAAAAGTCATGCTGTAAAAATACTAAACAAAAGAAATGGATATTATTAAATTAATGTAAGAAAAATGAATGATAGCTTTAAAAGTTTTACTTAATATGAAAAAGATCACAATGTGAAGATTAAAGACTCTGTTTTCCAGGAAGATGTAACAGTGCTAGACTGTTATGTGTTTGATTATTCACATTTACAATATATGAAACCAAATTTGGTAGACTTACAGGAAATGAAAGAAAATTGAACCTCCATAATGGAATATTGAAAAAACAGTTCTTCTAATGCTTCTTGGTAAGTTTATGGCTTTATATAGTAGGACTTCTAATTATGATATCATACATATATTCTCTGAAATGTTAAGTTTCATACAGTGTAGATGGATAAAAAATGCTTCTAGCAGTGACAAAGACACTGATATGGAAAATGCATGGGTAAAATTAGAATAAAATTGGTTCTTGAAATACAGATGAGAAACACTAAAATTTCTAAACTTTCATATAATAATGATTTGTATAGAAGTTCAATATCACAAATAAAAAATTATTTCACCAACATTAAATTTAGTCAATTTTGAAGTATATTATATATACACACATGTTATGTGTATATATGTATACATGTGTATCTATAAATATGCATATGTATATATACACACCTATGTACATATATGTATATAAATGGCAGATTGAAGTCCACTAAAATGGCTAAAGGGGAGAAGGAGTGGGAAAATTAAGAAAGCCTGGCACTGGTGGCTCATGCCTGAAATTCTAACTACTCATAATGCTAAGATATGAAGGTTATGGTTCAAAGCCAGCTCAGGCAGGAAAGTCCATGAGACTTTTATCTTCAATTAACCAGCAAAATATTCTGAAATAAAACTGCAGTTCAAGTAGATCTCTAACCTTGAAGAAAAAAGCTCAGGACTGCACCCAACTGGAACTTGGGTTCAACACCCAGACTGGCACCAAAAAACATAAACAAAAAGGAAAGAGTAATATAGATAGGTAAATTTGATCAAATACATTGTATGTATATATGTAAATATGATAATAGAACTTTTTGTACAATTAATGTATGCTAATAATTTTAATTGTGAAATAATTAATTTTAATGGTTGAAATGAAGCTATTTTATATTGGTGAATTTCTTGAATTTAGGTATATTTATTATATCTAATAACATAATAATTATATAATTATTTCTACAACTTAGATGTATTTATTTTATCTAAAGGTAATCAACAATTTATTATGAAGACAAAGATAGACTTATACATATTGATAATTCCTCCAAGCAGTAAAACTTGTTTGGATTCAAGTCTAGCTCAGGGCTTGATAGAGCAGGAGAGGTTGGTTACTGACTCATGTTGTTCACCATTATTGTTTTATAAGACCAAAATTAATATGTGTTGCTTTGTATTTCATGTATTTATTTATAGTCATGAATTTAGTGCTAAATAATTGCAAGTTTTTAAATCACCATTGCTTCATTGTTTATGTAATATATCAAGTTTGAGTATTTATCAATATTCCTTTTTCCTTTAAATACATTTTATTTATTTAATTATTTAAAATTCAGCCAGGCCCCCAAATCAGATCTAGTCCCAAACTGGCACTACTATGCTATTTTTAATCAAATCTATATAAAATTGATATGAATGCATTGTCATTACACATATCAGTGCAGTTTTGTTTGCTTATTTGTTGTGTGCTAGAACTGGGACTTGAACTCAGGGCCTCACCCTCTGGCTTGACTTCTTCACTCAAAGCTATTGCTTTACCACTTGAGCCAACTCCACCTCCACTTCTGGCTTTTTTCTTTTTCTATTTTTCTATCTCTCTTTTTTCTTTTGCTATTAATAGTCTCAAAGACTTTTCTACCCCAAGTTTTCAACCCCAGGTTGGCTTCAGACCTCCATCCTCAGGTCTCAGCCTCCTGTGTAGCCAACAGCTTCTAGCTTTATAAGTGCAGTTTTTACCAGTAAGTCTTGCTATCTCAGACTTTTCCTTTGAGTTTAAAAAATGTAAATGAGAAGTTTATAATCTTTAAAAAATATTAGGAAGAGGAAATAATAATGTAGATGACTCAGTGATTTGACAACTGTCAAAAGAAAAGAAGCTTCACTTGACACTATGTTGGATATGTACCTTACAACTTGGGGGAGGAGGGGAGGAGGGAAGCATAAGGGGAAGAAAATGAGGGATGGGGTAAAAATGTTTAAAAACAAATGTACTAATTACCTTACATATGTAACTGTAACTCCCTTGCTCATCACTTTTTCAATAAAAATAACATAAATTTAAAAAATAAAATAAAAATTCACATAACAAGCAAAAAAAGAAATCGAAAAGAAAGCATAAAATTTGAAAAATATATCCTCTCCCTGTGAACAAACTTCTCTTTGCCCAGCATTTCAAACAAATCTATTACCCAGGCATATTAGTTCATACTTAAAATCCTAGCTAATTGCAAGGCTGATGTTAGAGAGGATCATGGTTTGAAGCCAGTCCAGGAAAAGTGTTCATGAGACCCCCCTCATCTCAATCAATAAAAAGGTGGACACAGTGGCACACATCTGTCATTCCATCATCACAGAAAGTATAGGCAGGAGGATCATTGTCCAAGCTAGCTTAAGCATAAATACCAGACTATATAAAACATAACTGAAGCTAAAAGGCGGTATAATGTTTCCCTAGCATATGGAAGGCCCTTGAATTCAAAACCTAAGTAACCACCAAAACAAAACAACAACAGTCATACAAAAAAAAAAAGAAGGAAAAAAATCTTACTGATCCATTTGTACAAAACAGCCATTGCATCCAGGCACTGAACCCATTTCTGAGATGTTCACATAGAAAGCTTTAGCAAGTAGGTTCCTTAGACTAGCTGAGAGGATAATGTTTTCTTTGTTTTTGTCTTTCTAATTAAATTCATTACCCTCTTTCTTGTTCCCCGTCCTGACTCTCACTAACCATATAACAAATTTAAATCCATAGGAAAGAGCAGATTAAGGAGAATTGTGTTGATCATTGAAGAAATATGTTTGTTTGGGTTTTAGTTTTTGTTTTTGCTAATTAATTGTGTGTTCCATGCCTTCAAGGCTTTTAAAAAGTACTCTCAGAAGCAACTTTCCCTGACCCCATCTGGCTGCCTCTGAGAGTCAATGCACATGTTTCACTGTATTGCTAAAACTCAGGGAACCATGGCTAAAAGCCTTTAAGAGAACATGAATTACTACTGGAGTAATCCCCACCATCTCTGGCCTCTCCTTTCTTTGTGCACTATCAAATGGGAATAGTAACCTTGCTGGACTGTAAGAGAATGTGAGAAATGTTTGAGAATGGTAACTAGTATTAGAAATACTCTTATTATCAGTTTTAATTAAGTGTCCAGGTTTGATTTCTCTGAGCAGAAAAACAGATTCCACAGAAAGCACAGTGTGGCTGCACTGAGATTGCTGCCGCCCGTATGAAAGCTGATACTACATGAAAGACTTTACTTCTATCCTTTCCTCGATAATCTTGAAACCCATATTTTCTGTCTACCGTTGTTTTAAAGGTCATTTTGAATTGATTCAGCCCCATATCACTTAAGTGTATTCCTGTTGTTTGAGCCTATACATTAATATTATGATACTGGCATTTGAGAAGACATCTGTTTCAATGATTTCATATTTGGCACAAGAAAATATAAAATCTTGGAGAACTAGTCATTTTTGTGACTAAAGAATCTAATTTCAGTTCTGTTTTAATTACCCTATTTTGTATTAGTTTCCTGTAAATGCATCTAGATGTCCATGAAGTACTTAGATTCTATGAAATGCTGTCAACTTATTATTTGATAATTTACCTCTGAAATGCTCTACTTCTGAACTTATTTTATTCAGCTGAAAGTGTCAGGTCTTTGCTTATATTGGAAATATGTTATATCAATGATGCTAGAATAACCAGAGTAATAGTATGACTAAGAGATATGCTAAGAATCAATATGAGTTCTGCTCATTTACTTTCATTATTTTTCTGGCCTGGAATAAATTAACCTACAGAAAATTACATGAGTTTTATGTCTTATTTAGTGGACTTTTCTTTCTTGGGTCTGATTTTTCTCTCTCTTTCTGCTTATGATTTTAGGCTCAGCTATGTGAATCATGCAGAGGATCTGGCCTCTAAGCTCCTCCAGTGTTCTCCAAAGAACAGACTATCGGCACAGGCCGCCTTGAACCATGAGTATTTCAGTGACCTGCCCCCACGGCTTTGGGAACTGACTGATAGTGAGTACTACGCGCCTGCAATATCCAACCAGAGCACTATTCCATATATATGCAACATGCGTGTAGAGAGATGGGTTTGTTTATATGTGCACAAACATGAGATTATTTATCTGTAGATGCATTGCATCTGTGTGTATGTGTGTGTGTGTGTGTGTGTGTGTGTGTGTATGTGTGTGTGTGTAAAAGAAAAGTGAGGGGAGCATGCAAAAGCCAGAGGGGGATTATGTGTATATATATTAGTAGAATCCTGCCATTCAATTGCTAGCTTACCAGACACAGGAAGAAAATGGATTCCTTTTTTGCTATCTCTCCTCTGCAGTCTGCAGCTGTGCGTCTTTGTATTTGATTATGTGTGTGTCCAAAAAATGATCTGAGCATTCATAAAGGAAAAGGAAAATGTGATTTACATATTTAGTGCTTTATGCATATAGCTCTATTTTAACTGGCTGCAGTACACAGAAAGGGAAAAAATGATTCTTTTCTGTTTGATTCTCAGAAACCATCTTGGTTGTAACAATAACCTTAAAAAGGACTGCTATGCAGTGAGCTGAAGAACAGAGTTGGCAATTGGCTAATGCACAGAATTGACATGCAGGAACTGAAGGCATATAATTCACTTTAACTACACATTTTCTTGGTATTCATACAGACAGTTCTTCTCTGGATCTTTTAAAACAAAACACATTCCTGGGTGGGTTTTCGTTTTGTTTTTACAAAAGTGTTCATATTTATACAGGCTTTTTCAATTACATTTAAAATATCTGGGGCTGGATTTATGGCTGGGAGGGTCTCAGCTTTCTTCCCAAGTGTGAAACAGAATTCTTGTGAAATTTTGCAAAACAATATTGCTGTCGGAATGTTTTTGTTCAGTGGTGTTAATGTTTTTTTCAAAAGCTTATTACAGATATTTTTTCTCATACTAGTTGCTGATTGCATAAAAATAGCATACTACCTATATGCAGAAATGTTTTACGTTTATTCATCCTTGTGTATATACGTCATTTACAGTTATTTCCTTTATCTCTCGGATTTTATACTTCCCAGCCCCCATTGCACTATTCGATTCTCCTTTACAACACTATTGGATTTTCCTTGTTGTTATGTGTGTTTGGAATTATAACTCATATAATAATTCCAATGCATTAAAAAAACAAACACAACTGAACTCTCCTAACTGGTTTTTTAGCCTATGCATAAGTCTAACTAATTTTTGCCCCAAAGTGATTACCCTTAGTAAGATTTCCTAATTTCTGATCCCATATTTTCTCTGTATTTTGTCTATTTCCTTTCTAAACTGCTCACTGATCATTATTGCAATGATCTACAACAAAAATAAAATTAAAATCCCTATGGAAAAAACAAGGAATTGGTGATAGATCTTCCTATAGAGAGAAAGCAAATGGACTCATTAGTTTAAGACTCAGCACACTCAGCAGATGGTTTTCCCATGTAGTGTAACTTGTAGCTTGATAGCACTCCTCCTTGGTGACATCTCAATCCCATCTGACTTGATGATTGAGTTTAAGCCAGGATTTTGATGGTCTATGGATTCTGAATTCTGTAGTAGTACTTTTCTGTTAATATGGACTTATTACCCACTTGCCACTTAGTTTATCAGCCAGTGGTTAAATCCAGTTTCTATCAGTGAGTAAATGCCTACACATTATCACTTGGCAGCAGACTGCCAGCAGAGACAGCCTTGTCCCCATCATTAACAAGCACAATGTATGCAGAACACCAGAGGGGAATTAAAACCACAAAAAATACCTCAGGGTGGTATTTTTAATATGAGAATTTAATTTGTAATTTCACAGATTAAGAATTTTGGCTGCATTAATCCCTTTATCAGCTCACAGCAGGCTATTTGCAGAAGCATAACCATAAGGCGATATTCATTGGCAGAAACACGTCTTTGCATAACGTTAAACATCAGGAGCAGTGAAACCTTTTGAAGGGGGGAGAATAAAGATGAAAAAAATCATTATATTTTTAAAGCAAGATTCTACTAAATGCCTCTGGTAACAATTTTGAGTTACAGAAATTCTATTTCTGTGTCTAGAAGATAATCATTATGAAGCATAAATCCAGTCTCAAGAAAAGGACCATCCCAGTATTAAATACTACAGTCATTTCCATTTAGAACATCGTGGCTATACTTGTAAACATGTTTACAAAACAAAGAATTCCCAGACTTCGCAGACTTTGGGAATTTAGTTCCTAAAAGTGAAAGGACTGCCTTTGTTGACTGCCTTTTCTGGGTTAGTGTTCTGTAAACTATTTTTAGAAATTCTTTAACATTCTTCCAGTTAAATTTCATATTAGTGTAGAATCTTTTTTTTTTAAGTTTGCTGTCTGGAAAGTAGCAATTCCAGCAGAGGCAGAGGCTGAAAGTCCTCATGTGCCTTTCGGAGGGATTTGGAAGGAGCTCCACTGGAGTGCTGCAGAACCACTGAGTGCATTGTCTTAGCACGTCCTAATGCAGACTCACTGATTCCAAGCACTTCCCTGCCTTAGTCAGTTTAGGTTTAGATTGCTGTGATGAAATGCCCCACAGTGGGTGGCTTAAACATTGTTACAGTTCAGGGATAGGAAATCCAAGATGAAGGTGCTAGCAGATGCTGTTTCTAGTTAGGGCACTCTGCCTGGCTGGTAAAAGGCCACCATGCTGTATCTTCATAGGGAGGAGACAACATTTCTCTTTTCCTCTTCTTATAAAGCTACTGAACATGAGTGTACCTTCCACACGACCTCATCTAAACCTAATCTCCCATAGTTCCCCTCCCCCTCTCCAATACCCATGCATTGGGATGAGGGGGTAACTAGGGAATCAACATAGAATCTGAGGGAGGGAGGGACACAATTCAGATCTTTCTGTCTCATTCTCTGTAATGACTCATAGCACTTTTTTTTTCTCTGAATAATGTCCAGCAAAGGAAAACACTTAGGCAGGAAGATCAGAACAAAAAATAAGTTAATTTTGAGCTCCAACCTTCCTGGCCTGTGTTGACATGTTAGATCCTGTGAAAAGAACATCACTGTTGTTGAAACTTGGGTACCACAGGTCACTGTAGCCATTCTGTGGCTTAGTATAAAACTGAGGTGGTATTTTTAAAATACATGATCTTTATTAGTTTATTCCGTTATTGCTGGTTCTGGTGATTGAACTCATGGCCTGGGCACTGTCCCTGAGCTTTTTTGCTAAATGCTAGTGCTCTACTACTTGAGCCACATCTCCAGCTCTTTTTTTGGTGATCAATTGGAGTGTCTCATGGACTTTCTTGGCCCATCTGGCTTTGAACCTTGATCCTCAGATCTCAGCCTTCCTGTAGGAGTGGGCCGGATGGTTCCCTTGAAGATTCTCCTCTGACTGTACCTCAGGTATCTGCTGGGGACAAAACCTATCAGTGGACAGAAAAACTCAAAGAGTAACCTGATGAGGTTTTAAGAAAAATGCTGGTTGATAGTGGCTCATGCCTCTAATTCGAACTACTCAGGAGGCTGAGTATAGCTTCCATGAGACAACTACAGTGTGAACATTTAAGAGTTTTAGTGCTTACAGTTCCTGACAAACATATGCATGCCTGGATACAATTTCAGGGAACACAGGCAGAAAGAGGGACCCATGGGCAAATGCTATTATGGGGTCCATAGCATCATCAACCCTGATTTTCCTTAGGAGTTGTGATTGGTGGGTTTAAAGCAAGCAGGCACAAGTATTCAGAAGTCACTATGACCAGGATATGGTCACTGCAGGCCATGGGCACAGTTCACTCAAGATGTGAGGGCCAACCAAGTAGGCTGGGTCTAGATATCCCATAGAGAAGTGGTCCCCTGGGATCTATCGCACAGAGGAATGGAACCTGGAAGAGGTAAAATTGGGAACTGTCTCAAAGGTGACTGAGCTCTGCATTTAGCATGAGAAAATCCCAATGTGCTGAAGCACATTGAACATTTATTCCAGCCAAAATTTAGAAGTACTGGTTGGTCACTAAAATAGGAATTATCAATGCATCAAGCAAGAATAATGACAGAGATACTCTAGGATCTGGCAGTTAAAGTTGGCCAATTCTAGAGGCATCCCACAATTCTCCCTCTGTCCTGAAACCCTCAACAGCCTTAACCCACTCCTACACAAAGATTGAATTGCGGGAAAGTAAAGGGAAGGCCGATTTAAAAGAAATCCGTTGCTTTCCCCAAATGTACCACAGGGCATTCTCCTGTGTATACCATCAAGTTACATAAATTATTGAAGGAGAACTACCCTTGTCAAAGTAAATAAACAAAATACACTTCATAGCTCAGAGTTCTTGGTTTTATTACACTGATTTGCTAATTCACAAAACCCAAAATGAGTAAAAGAAGGTTCACAAATTGGGAAGTCCCTAAGGACCTTTCCCCATCTAACTTTTTCAGGTTTTTTTTCCCACCTAGTCTGTTGTTCTAAAACATGATACCGTTATAAAGGCTCACAAATTGGGAAGTCCCTAAGGACCTTTCCCCATCTAACTTTTTCAGGTTTTTTTTCCCCACCTAGTCTGTTATTCTAAAACAACATGATACCGTTATGAAGCTTCATGGCATCCTTTTGACAAACAAAGTAAACACAACAATTCTAAATATATCTGTGCCCTTCAATTCCTTTTCAATCAGGTTTTTGAACCCATAACTCCTGAACTGTTGTCTTCAAAGTCTTTAACCTTTGGTCTTTTCCCAGCCTTCATCTTGTCTATCAACAGAATTTAGCAAAATTGGTCACCAGTTTCTCCTAGTAATACTTGGTTTCCAGAAAAGGATTTTATGGATTTCCTTTTGTTCCCTAAACTCTCATTCCCAGATTCCATTGCTAATCTCACCTCATCTGCCAGATCTCTCATTGTTAGAGGATCCCTAGGTATATCTTCTTTATTCACTTCCTGGAGACATTATCTAAGTTTCAGAATTTGTTAAATCTGAAAATATAATCAGTTATTAAATCTGAAGACTGAAATACCATCTAAACATAGGTAGTTTCTAAGGTTCTTTCTCCTTTGACTCTAGCCATTTGACCATCTAGTAATCATCACAAACTTACTATTACCAAAACTGTACTCCTACTCTTTCCCCCAAAACTTGCTTCCTCTGTAGTCTTCATTTTGTGAATGAATGATGCCACCATTCTTCCAGTTGGCAGAGGTCATCCTTTTTTCTTCTTCTTGTCACATTCCATAGGTGCTACTTTTAAGATAGATCCAGAATCACATCAGTCCTCACTTCACTGTTGGCACCTGCCCCAAGTCATTCCATCTTGGTGTTTTTATAGTAATTTGCTAACCAATTTACCTGTTCCTTGTACTTCTACAGTGACTTCTGGCGATTTTCTCTTGACATTTTGTTCATTTTCCCTCTGTATATGTAAGGCTTGCCCTCCCACTACTTTGAGTCTCTGTTCTGTTTTTGGGGATTTTTTTGTTTGTTTGTTTTAAATCAGGAAGCCTTCCTTGACCTTCTATCCAAAGCCACCAGTTTCTCCTTCCTATTTTATTTTTCTTCAGAAAATTCACCACTATTTGTTATGTCTTTTTGGTTGTTTACTACCTGTCTTGCCTATCCAGAATCTACAAAAGTCAGAATTTTGTTTAATTCTGATTTTGTTCACTGTAGGATTCTGCGATTCCTTGAAAACCATGAGATTCAATAAGTGTTTCTCAAATGAATGAATAAAGGAAAAGGAACATAAATCAAAGTTAATTGTTCTAGATTAGAGAACTCTTAAGTAACCATATGAGCTGTGATTGTAGTGGAAAAGCAGTCTCTCAATGTGTGTGTGCATGCGTGTGTGTGTGTGTGTGTGTGTATGTATGTATTCCCGTGGCTACTTGACATTTCAAAGATGAATATACCACGAAATTCTACGTGCAGGTGTCCACAACTGCTTCTCAATTCCATTTTTTAAAAGATTATAAACATACTATAAATATACAAATGAAAACTTTTTATTCTCTCCCCAGTGTCTTCTATTTTTACCGTCCCAAATGTGAGATTGCAACCAGAAGCTGGAGAGAGCTTGCGTGCCTTTGGGAAAAACAATAGTTATGGCAAAAGTCTATCAAACAGCAAGCACTGAGGAGCACAGAATTCTCAAGAGAGCACAGGTAAGGTGACCTACTTTACTTGTAAAGTAATAATTAATAGATACTGAGCAGATCTAACAAATGAAATATTTCAGACACAATTTCCCCTGAAACTCTTTTGAGTCTCATAGACTTATTATGGCATTCATCAAGCATTCTATTGAGATAAGAATCTAAGTCATTTCTATAACCTCAGGCACCTGCCAGATTCTCACCAAAATTATATTGAATCTTGACCTTCAGTTGCATATTCACAAGCAAACCACTTGTGACATGTGCTCAAGCCCTCTTCCTTGAGGTTAGGAAGAAGTATCACTCCATATATTATCTAAGCCACACACCTGGTTTGTTTCTGCTTTTTTGTTCTCAGTTTTAGAAATGAGAGATCTCACATAAAAATCTAGATTTCTCATTTAAAAAAAGAATCAATAACTTTGGCAACACTGCTTCCCCGTTCCATCCTGAGGTTTCTGTGTGTGATTAAATCCTGGCTGCCTCCTTTGGAATAGACAAGGCTTCTCCTTAAACCCGGCTGCCATCTGGACCTTGGCACCCATTTCGGATTCCTGGCTGGTCCCTGGTACTGATCTTAGTATAAGGAAGCATCTCTTTTCCATTGTTGAATTCTTTGACCTTTCATTTTATACATAGGAAATATAACCTAAACATAGTCGTGTCTACGCAGGTCAGCAAATCCTAGTAACACACATGAGACAGCAGCTCCTAAAAGCACTGTCTTGATTGTCAGATGGAAATGTCTAGCTTTCATTTTTTTAAAATATACATATTATTTATGTGTATACATATATATATTATTTATGTGTATACGTATATATACATATATGAAATTTTTTGCTTCCTTTTGTAACATGGTTTTGTTTTGGTTTTGTGGGTCGTGGGGCTTGAACTGTGGGCCTGGGTGCTGTCCCTACTCTCTTCAGCTCAAGGCGAGCACTCTACTACTTGAGCCACAGCACCACTTCCCATTTTCTGGTGGTTAATTGGAGGTAAGAGTCTCATGGACTTTCCTGCCAGGGCTGGCTTTGAACTGTGATTCTTAGATCTCAGCCTCCTGAGTAGCTAGGATTACAGGCATGAACTACTGGTGCCCAGCTATAACATGGTATTTTGAAGCAAATACAGGTTTTCCCATTATTGGAAGCCTGTTGCTGGCTCATGTAGAGAAGTGTGTACTTGTTCCCTGTTCCTGAAGATATTCAGAAATTAATGTTGAAGTGAATTGGAGAGCATGCAGAATTACAGGAGCTGCTCTCCCTTCTCCTAACATGATATACGTTAAGAAGCTACATGGACAAGGTGGCAAAGATAGCAAATGCAGCTGTGCACATTGTCTTCTGGGAGATCTGCCAGTATCTTGAGCTATTTCAGGACTTAGCCTTTTGTATTCTCAACATGGAGTCCAGCTTTAAATTCATAGGGATATGGCAGTAATTTTTGAATGATTTGGAGAAAAATAATTCTTAGATAAAATCTAATGTATAAATGTCAGCTGATGTTACATATAAGCTTGTGAGTCTACAGATAGGAGTAAGGTTTTTCTTCTTTGGGGTTCTTCAACCCTATTAGATATGAAGTTACCTGAGAACACAAACATGCTCTTACCTTGAGCTGTCTGACAGACAGAGTGGAGCCAATTTCTGACTACTTACCTCCCGGTAAATGGCTTTCATTCATGAGGGTTGTGGTATATGTTTATAAAAGTATTTAACTTGTATTATCATACTGAAGACCCCTGGCTTCATAAGTCCCAGAGCAAATCCAGTAAAATAATAGCAGAAAGGAGATTTCCTTGTGTTATTACCTTATATACACACACAATGTACACATATATACATACTCCGCACATACACATGCATGCGCATGCATGTATGTCTTCATTTCAATCACAGGGTCATGTCTTTTCTTCTTGACTCTTTTGAGATGTCCTTACTTGTGCCTGGCAAGTGTGTTTCAGGTCAGCTCATCCTTGTAAAATTAATTCAAGATAACTTGACAGAGGATTGCCCAGAAAGTCTCAAAATAATTACTGATTTAAAAGGTATTTTTTGTGTGGGGAGGTCAGTAGAAGTCTATAGGGTTTGAACTTAGGGCCTGGGCGCTGTGTCTGAACTTTCTTGCTCAAGGTTAGTGCTCTACTACTTTGAGCCACAGATCTACTTCTGGTTTTCTGGTGGTTAGAGATAAGAGTCTCATGGACTTTCCTGCCTGGGCTGGCTTTAAATCATGATCCTTAGATCTCAGCCTCCTGAGTTGCCAGCATTACAGGCATGAGCCACCGGCAGCGTGGCTTATAAGATATTCTTAAGTGATCAGAACAGCAAAGATCTGTGTTTGAAAACCTTTACAAACATTCATTTTCTGTGCAGTATATTTTTAAGTTGGAGCTAAGTAGAAGCTTTTTCTCTAGCATCATTTGATTGAAATACACATTATTTTCTCTATAGAGTTTTGCCTTTTTCACATCTACTTTCAAGGCTTTAATTCTCTTGCTGTTCTAAATCCAAATGCCTTAGTTTGATTTAAGATGATGCTTAGGAAACATCTCAATATTTCCTTTTCAGAAAAGCCACAGGAAAGCTGGATCCTGAAATAGTTTTCTCAGTCAACAGAAAAAAAATCAGTTTTTTTTCTCTTTATACACTTTAAAAAAATTAATCAAATGGGGTCATCTCAGAGAGCAAATAATATAGCCTAATTATTGGACCCATACATCATACGGAACAGCCTTAGTCTGACCAATAGCTACATATCAAGTTTCAGATCTTATACAGCAAAAACTCTACCCAAATAAGGTATCTCAGAGAACAGCATGCATTTCCCTGGACTTTGATTTCTTTATTATTGCTGGATTCATTAACTGTTTAGAAAAGACTGTAACATCTTAAGTTTCCCTTGAACATCCTAGCTCTTTGTAAAGCCCAGAGAAATAGGAAAGGAGAGGGAAGAGAGGAAAAACTGGACACTCAGAAGCTGAATGGGGCCAGCATTTTAACTACCTCTCTCTGGCAGAAAACAGTGTGCTAAGGGTGGAAACTGAATTGTGTCCCTCAGTCTTTGAAATGATGGACACTAGGCAGACTGCAGTGTTTCAAGTCCTGATACTTCTCCCATACCTCAGTGCCACATTATTTCTTTCCTTGCATACTAAGGTCACTTCAATTATTTAGTTAACAATGCTGAATTTGCATAAATGGGCCTTAGCTGAAAAGCTAATGAGATGTATTTTGCTTTGTAGCAGAAAGCAATTTTGGTTTTAGAATCTTGTAACAAAATTAAATGAAAAGCAAGCCACAAGCACCTAAGTTAAAAGATGAGGTTGCTGTCAGAATTCTGAGCTTTGTACATTTTATTATCCTGAAAGATGGTGGTAAAACTAAAGATCTCGTAGATTGTTCCCACTCACTTGATCACCATTGAAGGGCAAGATTTTCTAAGTCTGAGAAAGCCTTAAAAATCCATTGGTATTTTCCCCAAAGGAAAAGACTTGAGGATATATTGAATATGCTACATTCATTAGAATCACTTACATTTGCTTCAGATAATATCCAGCAGGCCCCTGTGTTGAGCTTAGTTTTCCAGATATTCTAAACTGGGACGAAGTGTATGCCCACTGTTTTCTTCTCCTTTTACTGAATGGATATGGGGACAAAAATGGCTGCTACTTTTTTGGACATCTGTTTTTTATACTGTTTCTGAAAATAGTATGTATTCCTTATGAAATATCTCAATGAATCAGTTGGTCTTCAGCTCTCATTCAATTCATAGTAAATTTAAAAATATCTATCTAGTACATGAAATAACATTGTTTGGTTCAAGTGCAAGAGGTCAGCTGTGCGCACGGTGTTGACCCTTTCCTTGCATTTTAGCATATTCCCTTGGCCTGCCCTTGATATTTAAGAATCATGACAATGGAAAATGGCTAAACACTTTATGCTTAACTCAGTCACTAAACAATTTCCTAAGATACCACATTAGGTAAAGAGATTCAAATGTATTGATAATATTTATTTTGTGTATTTATTGCTCAAGAAGTCTAAATTAAATGACATCAAGATTTAAGGACCAGATTCTTGACAGAACCCAGTGTACTGCTGCTTCAAACGTCAGCAGTATCCTCATACTCAGAGTATGACACCCGTGCTGGATTTTTCAAATCCAGTACCTGGGGCCCATGCGTCTACATTTTAAAGAAATACAAGGGGACATGGATGCAGGTGGCTTTCGAAGCACAGGTAGTGAACTCTGAAGTACATAGGCATAATTATATATCTAAGAAGCAAAATAATTAAATTCTTTGGATTAGAATAGGGTAAAGACAAGCTAGGAAAATAATCAGTGCTCTGTCACACAAAGTAAAACAATTCTGTGATTCCTTCATTTTCCTCTTTCCTCTTTCCTTCCTTCCTTGCTTCCTTCCACCTTTATTTCATTCTTTGCTTTGAGAGAGAACAGTGTCGTGCTGTCCAACATGTAGCATTATGTGCCTATTGAAATGTGATTCTTAATTAGTGTAAAGCTCCTTCCTACAGTAGCAGCACTACGTTTCAAGTGCTCAATAGCTCTTGTGGTACTGACCACCCTGCCAAATAGCTTAGGTACACTCCACGTCATGAAGTGTTCTACTGCACAGTGCTAATGAAGAACATTTCTCCCACTTTTTGCCTCTGCTTCTGAGACTGTCTGCTGCTGAGCTATTTCTGCTTAGTTCAAACCTTCCTTAAAAATGGCTCTGATTAGAATAATCAGCATCAGGAAGTAGAGAGAGAGGCTGCTGGATCCAGCCACTCAATATGAGCTACCTACCAGTGGCAAGCTGCCTCTAGGTCAGGTTCTGAGCCTGGGTGTGGGAACTGGGTAGCCAGCCTATGCAAAAGATCTTCTCAAAAGAGAGCTCCAAGCTTGGCCATCTCAGAAGCTTCTGTGCAGCACACAATGTGGCTGGAAAGCACCATAACTGGCTTGTGTACTATAAAGTCCAAGTCAGGTCAGTACAGTGTTAA